TCCTTTTTCCTGTCTTATATAATAATAAAGAGATAATTACATGAGCTTTTTGATATTTTATCTTCTTATGTCTTATTCGTATCTCACTCCTTTGCTTCATTCACTATTGTGAGAGTCGAACAAAAACTCAATAAAAATCTCTGAACACACATGGAAATGTTACCTTTCAGGAACCTCTGGCAAACAGAAGCATACCCAYGAATGGACCTCTGCAAAGCTGAACTGACCACTTAACTTAAGGGTATTCATAGGTCTGAATCAGATAATATTAATAATCCATCAGTAMTTCCTTTAAAATTACTGTGTTGTTTTGAAAGCAAATGGTTTGAAACAAGGTGTAAGTGATAGAGATGTTCACTCTGGACTAAAAAGCCAATTAAAACAATTTCTTCAAGGTGCCTATAAGCAATGATACAACACTGAAACTTACTTTTCTTCATCAAAGACGTGTGTTCTCTGGTGAAGAGAGAGTGGTTTGATGGGATATGGTCGAACTTGACAAGTCTTTGGCTGGACTCTTGGTGTGATATATGCTAATAGGGTGCCATATTGTCCCTCTATTGACCGCACCTTACCAATCAAGAMATTTAAATGTTAAATTATGATGAATTAAATATGCTTGTCACATATTTTTATTTAGGTAATTCAATCATAGATGAAAGAATCAAGCCATATATTTACCTTCAATTCAAGTCTTGTTGTATTTGCTTGACATCGATAGGTTGCAAGAAGAAAATTTCCTTGCTGGAGATTCAATTTACAAAAAACAAAATAAGTCAGCCACRACAATGATTTTAATACAATGATTAACACACAGCACTAATTCTAYAATCTGCACTTTGGTCCAGCTCTATCATAAGCTCTGATAAGAATGGAAACTTGCATCACAGAAGCACAATGCATTATACTTCTTTTAATTTGTGACTGAGGAAAATAAATTTTAAGTTAATAAAGAGTAAAACATACGTCAGGTTCACAGGAGCTGTAGCTGACAACTGCAGAGTTCTTATCAACATCCAGCAAGTCAATAGGCACATCACTCTGTCAACAATCATTAAACACTATTATTATCTATAAGAGATCTATTACCATGACAAATAGCTGTAAATCATTCATAGCCATGAATAAAATAATAACTAAGGGGTTTTGGAGGGAGGGGTGAGCAGAGACGGGGAAGTGGAGCCACAAGTGGATTGCAATACATACCATATAGTAAATAACACTGACTGTAAAAGTACATACCTGTAGCAGCACATTATCAATTGGTATCTGGACCTCAATACTCAGTGTATAACTAGCATCGTCTCTGTTCAAAGCAAACCGGTCATTGATAGCAAACTGTGGGATGGCTGACAATGCAGATGATGACTGAGCAGTCTGTTGATACTTTTCTCTTTCTTTTAGAACTTGTTGCTGTAAAATGTCAATCTCTTCCCTGTTGAAATAATGATGGACTTAGTGAATGTTTTTTCATTTAATTGCAAACAATTCATAGACAATATGACTAAAGAGAAGACAATTTCTGTGCTATAAATTGTTGGGTTGGTGCTGTTGTTGGGTTGGGTGCTAATCGTCCTTCATGGCAGCACGGGTGCTGAATTGCAAAAGACGCAGCTCGATGTGCTCTCAAGTTGAATTGCTATATTACAGACACATTTTACATACACTTACACATAGGCGTGCTGGCGGCTAGGTGCTTCCTTTACATAGCAACATTGACTGAACACGGAGCACAGAAGATAGAAATAGATCCTGACAATATCAGGGTTTACACCCTAGGGATTCTGATAGATGGCAAGAAAACTGTAACTTACTATCTATTAATATTACATGGTAATACCTCAAGTGATCAATCTTAGCTTGTGCCTCGTCACTTATTGTTTCTTGGTTAGAGACATTAGGCCCAGCCTCTTTTTGTTGAGGTTCTGTGGTGAGACCAACTACCCATCCAGCATAAGTACCAACCACTACTTCATCATATCCACTAGTATTGATGCATCCTCCAGCTATGGATGTGATACTTTCACTTAGAGTCTGACAATGAAACAGCAATATTGGTGTTAATTTAAATAACAATAAATTGCAAGAAAGTCCCTTCAGGGAATGTACTTCCTAAATAATTTGATTTGCTTGGAATGTTAAAGCTGACTGAAGCATTAGGATCTATTATCAGTCACTGCTGTTTTAAGTGATGAGGTTGTAATCACAAATATTTACTAGATCATAATATGCTGYAGTGTGTTATATATATCAACCATTTCAAGACAGGAATTCTAGACCAATAGACATTTAACACTCTTATAGACTTGGTTTTACACCAACCTGTGAATATCTTTGAACTGGCTCCTCCATTTCATCAAACCCATACACCTCTACAACACCATCATCACGGCCAAYYAACACATCAGGAACACCATCAGCTGTCATATCAAACATTTGTAAAGCTAGAACACTACCATGTCTCTTGTCGTTACTAATTTCCCACTTGTGACTTGGAGAATGTCTGGTAAAACAAKTGATTATCTGCATTATTTTGATGGTGAGAATTTCTATATGATTGTATTATTTAATAGAATGGAGACAACAAGACACTGGTTGAGTTACTGGTTACTGAAGGCCTCCATCCAGCTTCTCCACCTCTCTCGGGTCACTGCAACACTAAGTGCCGACAAGCCGACTGGTTGAATGAGTAGTCTATTAAGATATATTTTATTTTGGTTATGCTTTTTTAATTTGGTGGTCTTTTAGTGGATGGTTGACAAGATTAATATTTATTATAATAATTTTCGGTAAGGTATGAATAATTTAATGCTAAATATAGTACATGAACTATACAATATATAATTTATGTACATTGCTTCCTAGATTGACAAATCCTTGGTGACATAGTTTGCGGATGGGTTGCCGGAGGGTTGATAAATTAAGTCAGCTGGTTGATTATTGGATAGGGTGGTTGGTTTCCTTGTTGGTAGTCAACAATATTGAAATCCAGTTTCATTAGAAAGTTATGTTAGCCATTTATGAATTACTTCAATGGGTTTAATGCAGTTTGCTACAGTGCTTTGTCAGAGTGCTATTTACAAGCAGAAGGCCAGCTGGKTGAGTACCACAGTTTTGCTGGAAAGACTACCATTTACCTGCCAATTTGGACAAGTCCTACTTTTCCATCTGAAGTTCCATAAATAATCTCTTCTCCACTTTCACCTAATGTTAAACATTAGATAATTAAAAAACAGAGTCCAGATCAATTGAAAAGTGCCATTGAATATTACTAGTAATTATTAGTAGGACTGATACTGTACAGCGTACCTACCTCCATTAATGTTACCAAGGCCTAACACTAATGGTGGACCGGCAACCTCAACCTCATACAACAAGTCTGAATCCTGAGAAAAAAAAAATAGATCCAACATAATTTGGGATGCTCCAAAGATAGTTTTCTAGCCAAAATGCTCGAATGTGACATCTATTAGAGATTTTATTTTCATTTTTTAATACACAGTACACAATTATTAATTATTTCAATTYTGACCTGCAAAACACGTAGAACTCTGTCTTGACAAGCTAAGATAGGAACCATCTCATCATTCCTGATGGTAAAAATGTTTTCMMATCAAATTTCGAACTGTTTAATATTTAGCATATTTTTAATTTTCAGYTTTTACCTTTTTGGTGGAAGGCAAATGACATCATTGATCTTGTCACCTGACAGAAAGTAGTTTTCATCTTTGCAGTCTTTATAGTGATTGTAGATGTAATTTCCACAGAGCAAGAGGTCTGATCCACTTACATACCTACATGTAATCAATAATAATCAAACCCACACAAATCTTACAATCTAATTAGTGAAGCTCTATACAAAATACAACATAAGCTTACACCTAATTACGAAAACTGAGATTTAAGGATTTAGGAAATTAAGAATACATTAAAGACAAAGCATGACCACTGAAGCCGAACACTTTCTTTTGTATTTTAATTAATTCCTAAATAGTAAAAGTTCTTTTTTCTTGGACAACGTTTGTGTAATTAGGTGTAAATCAATATTTTAAATGATTTGCATTCCTTTATCATTCTTTTTTCACACACTATGGAAACCCTCTTGAGTTATATCATTTAATAAAATGCAATATAAAACTCACATTGATTGAATGCTTTCAGTCAGATTAGTATCAAATCCAAGGAACTGCTTYCCTTTCTTGGAAAAACCCCTGACCTCAGCGCCTGATGAAATGAATATCTTRTCTTGTGCTGGACCTTCTATTCCTCCTAGACAAAGCCGTGTGACAGGAGAAGCTGGYAGAGTYTTGAAAACAATCTAAMAATAAATATTGTCTTTGGTAAAAATTTGCTTCAAAATCAAGTACTAAGTTCCATAAAATATTGGCATGACTTTGGCGCCACCCTTTGCCTGAATCTACCCTTAGCCTCCCTSAACAAAAATCACAAACCTGTGCTGCCTTTTTCTTGACTCCAAAGCAAGTGAGTACACCATCATGATCAGCTATAGCTATCTGTATGGACATAGATTTAAGAAAGTTTTACGATGGTTGCACCTATGACCACTGTCAGTGTGTATAGAGTGGTT